TCAAATAGGAAGAAGTTTTACTGACTCTTAAGGACTTTCTAAGTATGACCGGTGATTCTCTATTTTCAGGTTGAGGACTTGGCACTGATGCAGACATTTCTGGAAGGGAAGGAGAATTGTCAAGCTTCGTGGATCTTCTAAATGCAATAGGTGAGTTCCTACTTACATTTTGAGGATTTGGTGTAGGAACTTCTTGGTTGTTAGGTTCCAAAAAATAGTCTGGGTCTTCTTTTGAATTTCCAGAAAATAAATCGTGAAAATCAATATTCTATTTAGATGAATCTGAAAGGGAAAAAATAGGTTTCTGGATTTTTGTGGATCTGATAGAGCCAAAAGGATAAATATCTTTATGAAACACTACGTCCCTAGATACAAGATTCTTTTGTGTGTTTAAGTTAAGAACTTTGTACGCTTCATTACCATGTGGATACCCCCAGAAAGACACAAGGTAACGCCCTTGAATCAAACTTTGTCCTATGAGACATAAGAGTGGAGACAAAACATAGACATCCAAAACACTTAAGTCTAGAATAATCATGTTTAGCCTTAAAGATGATTTCATAAGGTGTTTTGAACCTAAGTACCCTTGAAGGAAACTTGTTAATCAAATGTGTTGTAGTCAACACACAGTCTCCCCAAAACTTTACTAGTAGATGTGATTGATATAGTAAAGCCCTTGAGATTTTCAAAAGATGCTTGTGCTTTCTTTCAACAATTCCATTTTGTTGGGGAGTCCCAACACAAGTTGTCTGATGCACAATCCCTTGTTTTAAAAGATATTCTGCATGTACCTTTCCTGTTCCAAGCTCAAAAACATTGTCTGAACGTATGACTTTAATTTTACTGTAAAATTGTCTCTCTACCATTGCTAAAAAAAATTATAAAACTGAAAAAATATTTGACTTTGTGCTAAGAAAATATGTCCCAGTCCCCCTACTATAATCAGCTACAGTAGTTAGGAAATATTTGAATCCATCATATGTGTTTGTATTGTAAGGACCCCAAGTATCTATGTGGATTAATTCAAAAACATATTTAGTAGTGATAGAACTATTTGGAATTGGCAGCTTTGACTGCCTAGCCATTGGACAAATAACACAAGGTATAGAAAAATTATCACAAGAAGAACTAGGAATAGATAAAATCTTCTTCATATTACTTAAAGGCACATGGCCTAAACGATAGTGCCATAACTCGTTCTTTACATCTGAAAGACTCGAAAAGGAAAATAAAACTGAAGATTTCTTCTAATTATACAAATTCTTTCCTAGAACAACTCTATTACTAAAATAAGATGGCTTCTTGGAAATGAGTTCTAAATGCCTTGATTCCAGAATATATTATCCACAACTCTCCCTACCAATCACCAAATGCCTCTTCATTGAAGGGGCCTGCATAAAACAAAATAAAGAAGTGAATAATATGTTATAGTTGTTTTGCTTGCACAATTTATGAACTGATAACAAATTGAATCTGAAGGTTGGGACATATAAGACATTATGAAGAGTAAGGTTAGGAAAGATTGTAACTGATCCTGAATGAGTTACTTTAACCTTAGATGAATTAGGCAAGTTTACATTCGAATGTTTAAGTAGAAGATTCATGTTAAAGAGACAAGTTTCATCAAAAGTCATATGTTCAGTTGCACCACTATCTAATATCCATGTTTGATTATTGTTATGCGCAAAACAAGTTGTACATTTATGTAAAAAATATATACCAGCTAGGTTCACAACTGCATTTTTCTCAGAGCTACTGACATCTTGCTTTCCCATCTGTACCTGTTGTAGAAGATGTAAAATATGGGTGATGTTCTCGTGGGTAAGACCCTTAATGCCGGAGCTTTGTTATGCATTGTCCTCTGAAACAAGTGCATTGTTACCCTGAATAGATCCTTGGTATTTCTTCTGATTAGTGAACTTGAAATCCCGAGGAAGTCCAACAAGTCTATAACATTCTCCTATCATATGACCTTGTTTCTTATAGTAAGAGCAAAATGAGTTATTCTTCTTTCCTTCATAACCAGATTTCTTTCCCTTCAAGTCTCTGAAATTGCTTTTCTTTCCAACAGAACCTTGTTGTGCAACAATGAAAGAAGCTGAATCTCCTGGATAGATTGGAGCACAATGAATCTCTCTTTGCTTTTCATCTTGGATGACCATGGAGTAAGTTTGCCCAATAGTGGGTAAAGGAGAATACATCAGGATATTGCTTCTCACCCTTATGTAGGTGTCATTGAGCCCTATTAAAAACTGCAGCAACCTATGGTCTTGGTGAGTCTTCAAATTCTCCACACACACACACTCAATATGAACATGTGGAAAAATTTATTAGAGTATCTAACTCATCCCACAAACTTTTCATTTTCGTGAAGTAGCTAGATACACTAGAGTTTTCTTGAACTACAACACTTAGTTCTTTTTGAAGTTGGAACAGTTTAGCACCATTTGTTTTACCAAATTTGTCTTCCAAATCATTCCATAGGTCCTTTGCACTGTGAGAGTAAAGCACACTCTCTACAATCTCATTTGACAGAGAGTTAAGCAACCAAGATATGACCATGTCATTTCCTCTTGACCAAGCACTTTGAAGCCCAGGACTTTCATCTGGAATGGAGATGGTTCCATCAATAAAACCCAATTTGTCCTTTGCAGAAAGAGCTATCACAACATCTTTACGCCAAGCACCATAACTTTTGCCATCAAAAGCTGAAGAAATCAGGTTCATTCCTGGATAGTCTGAGGGGTGAAGAAAAAATGGGTGTGATGAATCAATCATCACTTTCTTGGATGAATCAGCCACAGGGTACTAACATCATATGTTTCTACCATTTCGGAAAAAAAGAAGGCACAATGAAAAGGTGAAAGTAAAAATCTCAAAATATGCTTAAATGACCTGCTCTGATACCATGTAGAAATTGAAAGATTTTGAAATCCAATCCTTGATTGGAATATTGTATATGTGTCTAGTCTATACAGAATACCCCTTTCGTATACAAAATTTCCTATGTACTGTGCATATACATGTTCTTCTATCATTTGCACTATTGTAACAGAATTTGTCCTATGTGTACTATGTATAAGAAATATATACAAATGTAAAAGACAGCTAATTACAGATAACAAAGTTCTAGACTATTCCATATCTATCCGTTGCCACACCAGCTGGAATGTAATTGCAACTATGAGTATAATATGGATGGTTTGATTGGATGGCACGTGGCATGATTAGGAGTGGGGGCAGAATGGTCCTTTGACTTAACCATAGGAGATGTTAATTCAAACCTAACTAGGTTACTTCGTGTACTTTCAATCTTAGCCGAAATTCCCTTCGCACCGCTTCTTCTCTCATCGATGGACAAGGAAGAATAAATCTTCCGATCATCATCTTCAACCTTTTCTCGATCAACTTCGTCGTTAACAACTACGGAAAATAAGGTCATTTATTTTACTCAAGAAAAAAAAAACAAGAGAAGAGGGGTCTATAAATCAAAGGCGGATTAAATACAAGGAAAGAGAAATATAACTTTATAAGACTTATTTAATTCTAAACTATTTCAATCTCATATTCTATTTTTTTTGGAGAAAAAGAAGTGAAAGTTGGTAAGTAACAAATGAGCAAATTCAACTTTCTTATTAAGACTTTTGGTCAAATTTCATAAGATTACAATAACTTAAATCGGACAAAAAGAGCTATAGGGGATATTACCTAAAGGCCTAGACTTATGCCACGCTAAAATCAATAATATAAATTCCTTAAACGAATATTTAAAAAAAATTGAGCTATAACCACAAAATTGCACCTCCACATTACATTTAAAAAGTATCAAAACTACCCCACTTAGGTACAGGACATACACCCCTTCGATGATTTCTCCCTTCTACATTCTTTTTTCCAATTAGTCACAAACACAACGTCCCACCCCCTCTCAATATAAAAAATTCCATAACAATGACAAATATGGCATGATTATATATATAAAAAGTTGCATGGACAGGAAATTCAAATTCTTAAGCTAGTAAAAACTAGCAATTCGTACTTCAGATTAGTAAATTAATGAATATGACTGCTTTAGCTCTATTATATCGATCTTTACTTAAAATTTTGATCCTAGCATCAAGTTCTGCTTTGAGAGAATGGCTCCACCCGATGTGATTCAATGTCATATTTCGACCATTTATACTACAGAACGAATGCCTAGTTTGAGGAAAATAAATTATTTTCTAAGTGATTCAAAGCGATACATCATAGATAAAATGAGGGATCTCAATTTCTTATTTATTCATGGAATATTATAGGGAAAAAACAAAAGGCAATCTAATACCCCATCATCGCTTAAACCGCAGTCTGAAAATATTGGAATTGAATTATCTATCGAAGTTGAAATAGCGAATTCTTCCATTACCAAAAAAAGAAAAGAAGTAATATTATCCCATCATTTCACAATTTCATAATAGGATTTTTCTAGAACAGTAAGTTGTATCAATTTATTTAAATATTGTAGCGAATTTAAAATTAAGACGTTAGGAGATTCGAACTAAAAAAGTAAGTTTTGAGATATACCCTTTTATTTTATTTCTATTTCGTATAAAATTTGATTTAAGCATACTCCCTCCGATCCACTTTAAGTAACTTTTTTTGGCTCTTTTCACACATATTAAGGAATCAAACTTTCTACCAAGCAAATAATTCTCTGTATTGATATTTCTCCTCCTCGACACCGTGTTGCTTTTCTGTAATAGCTTTCATTAATACAATCAAGCTTTTTTTCATTCTCAATTTTCTTTTCTGTTATCTCAATTGCTCTTGATATTGGTTTTCTCGCACGACACTGACAATCTCGTCTAGCGTACGGAGGGTACCCTAGTTGACGGATAGTGACTGCACGGATATCGATTGCTTAGCCTTACGTTGTCCTTCCAAGGAATCTCAGGAAGGCACCGTGTAACATTAATTAACAATAAAATTGATTATATTAACCTTAATTTGCTCATTAAAAATATAACAAACTAATCCTAAACTCTTTACATTAATAACAACTTTAAAAAGAAGAAGTTAATTCTTTCCTGATATCTGAAAATATTAATATTATGAATCACAAAAAAATCAAAAAAATCACTTAAGGAGTATTAAATGTTCTCAAACCTATAAGACAGCATCAGCATCCTTATCTCCGACGTAAGAATAAGCAATTCACAACTCCTCCGACACGTACTCTTTCTACATTTTATAAGTGGGAATTAAAGACACAACATTAAAAAATGATGTTGGAAGTTGGAACCTTAACGAAACGTAGAACCTTCTGGAAAATAAAAAACTTTTACCTATCAAAAAATTTTAAGGTACCTTCTCGCGACTTCCTAACTAGAAATTAGTTACTGGGACCCATGATTGCCCCTCACACCCTAAAAATTTGACCCGACCTTTTCTCCATTTTACCCCTACTATTATTATTCCCCTCTCGAACACATCATATTCTCCTTATCAACCACTTCTTCTTCAAATTTTCCTTCTATATTTACCTCCTTCGAACTTTCTAGAAACAAAAACACAGCTTTCTCTCAATCCCTCTTTGGGTTTGGATCTGTAATAGAAGTAGCAGTGGATGTCATGGTGCCGTTGCCGGTTGAACAAAGCGGCGAATCTACCGCCGGTGAGAATCAGAGATCTCTTCCGACGCCATTTCTGACGAAAACTTATCAACTCGTCGATGATGCTGCCATCGACGACTTGATCTCGTGGAATGAAGATGGAACGACGTTCATTGTTTGGAAACCTGCTGAATTTGCTAGGGATTTGCTTCCTAAATATTTTAAGCATAATAATTTCTCTAGTTTCGTTCGGCAGCTTAATACTTACGTAAGATTCTTATATTCTTAATAAAAAAGTCTGATTTTTTAGTCCTTTTTTGGTTATTCTGTTTACATTGATTAACTTGTTTCGTGAAATTATTGTTTAGGGATTCAGAAAAGTTGTACCTGATCGGTGGGAATTCGCGAATGATTGTTTCCGGAGAGGAGAAAAAGGGCTTCTTCGTGACATTCAACGCCGGAAAATCTCTCCGGCAGGGACTGCCGTTACTGCGGTTTCACCGACAATAGCGGTGAATGCAGCACAAACGGTGACGATAGCGGTGGCGCCGGCAGTGCGAATGGCATCTCCGTCAAACTCCGGTGACGAGCAGGTGTTATCATCGGATTCGTCGCCGGCTGCTACGGCTGCCGCTGCGGTGGTGCTAAGGACCACCAAGTGTACAACGACACCGGAGCTTCTGGAAGAGAACGAACGGTTGAGGAAAGAGAATGCACAATTGAGCCAAGAATTAAATCGATTGAGGAGCTTATGTAATAATGTATACAATCTGATGTTGAATTACACGGGGAATCCGTCGGAGACGCCAGCAGGAATTCCAGAAGGAAGAGCTCTCGAATTGCTTCCCACTGGGCAAGTTGCGGCGGAGGTTGAAGGCGGAGCCACCGCTACGCCGGCGGAATGCAGCGGTGTTAAGGCGGAGGAAGATATAAGCCCGCGGTTGTTTGGAGTATCAATTGGGGTAAAGCGCGTGAGGAGGAGCAGCGAAGAAGAATCTGAAAGAGAAGGAAGAGTGCAGGATCAAGTACAGCTGCACGCATCAGACGTGAAATCAGAGCCATTGCTGTGGATAGATCGATTAGGCTAATGATTTGTTGGAGAACCAAAAAAGACAAAAATTTAGAAGTGGTCCCCAGTAATTGGGTCCCACAAATGTTGGAAAAGAACACGTGTACAATGAAGGTAATTATCAATGTTGGTTCTGGGAGTTTCTGAGAGCGGGTCAATGTTGTAAAAGGTCACTATATTTGAAAACTATTGTTTACAAAAAAGACCACAAAAAGCGGTGGAAAAGGAGAAAAAAGGTGGCTTTCAAAATGATCCATAATTGGATTGGAAAAATAGGGGAGGTGAGCTGGCCTAGTTGAAAAAGATAGACAAATGTGGGAATTAAGTCAAATGTTTTAGTTAGATGGGAAGTATTTAGGTTGCAAGTTGCAAAAGAATTTTTGGTTAGAAAATTGTTTGTACATAATTGAAACAAAATAATGCTGTATTGTAATTTAAAGTTCTTATTAGACTTGCTGAGCTTTGTTCTTTTCCCTTTTTTTCTTTTCCTTGCGTATCTGTTTTATTTTGTTTGAATTGTTATTATTAATTTAGTATTGTAAATGAAAAATATTAGTAGTATAATGTTAGTTAAGTTCTAGTACTCCTAGTATATTTGAATTCTTGACCTGGCTAAAATAATAAAGTTTTCATTTTTGGGATGTCATGAAATGGGATTATGGAGATATTCTTTCCCAAATATAAGATGACTGATATTTGAGATCCTTTTGAAAAGGTATGGGAGGAGTTTAAGTAATGTGATTTATGTGGATGCAATTATGCAAACTATTTATGATGATCGGAATTGGTAATCTATATCTATATAGTATAAATGCAACATTCTGCAACATATTCTTTGGCCAAAAGAATATGTGTTATTGATATTACATGAAAACAAAGATATTTCTGTAAATCTGTTTATCATATTTTGTAATTTTTCTTTTCAAGAAATTAAATATCATAAAAATTGAGATTAACGAGATTACTATACAGTAAGTCGAAACATTTGCAAATACTCGATCTGACCAATATAGCGGAGCACACAGCTTATAACTGACAAAACTTTCGTGTATTATTATTATAACTAGAATGAAGGAGTAGCATTTCTGCATTTCAATTAGTTCTGGAACAAAAACTAGATCAATAAAGAAGCAAACATGTCTCATCCGGCTTTAAGATAGATATGTAAACAAGAAAGGGATAAAAAACCAAAATTGTGAACTATAAATCAAAGAATTAATGCAGATTTTAAGGGATAAAAAGGTAAAATTGTAAACTACTCTATAAATTTAGGAGTCAAAGAATTTAATGCAGATTTTAAAATAAAAATAACTCCTCCATTAATTTGTCGAAGATCCTTGACCGTTTTGACGATACTGGTTTGATAAATTATTATTGCCCTCTTTATTTTGGACTTGGCAAATATTATTACTTTAAGTTTGACTATTAATCACACGAACAAACCTGACTTAACCATAAAAAGAGACCGCATCTTTTAAACGACACTGTCTTTCTCCCACATCGACAATATACTGCAAGAAGAGGTCCTTTATATGAACGGCGAAGATGAAGTTCATGACCTTACTTGAACAGGATCTGTTCGATAGGCTTAAGTTCAAAGGAGACCAGAAACCGAGTCTGGTGGATGAAATTTAGTCTGGTGATGATCGTTCTAGACTTGGGTCATGGCAATGATCGTTCTTATTTGATCAAGTTTATAATTTTATTGGTCCCAACTATTATTGAAAATGAAAATTTAAAAGGAGCTTGTTAGCAGTTCTTTTATAAAACTTTCATTTAATTTATAAGCATTAACAATCTTCTTTTATTGCAATGTCAAGTAATCTAATGCAACTACAATTAGGTTCACATTTAATATTACCTCATATTTAAAATAAATATCTTTTTAATTTTCTTTATGCTCATTAAGGAAATCATATAAAATATTTATTATATGATTCATTAAAGATACATCCTTGAGTTCTAAGGAGACAGGAAACCAAGTCAGCTGGATGAAATTTAGCCAATAGACTAGAGCGTGATTAATGGTGGTTCTCATGGCCCTCGGGTCATGGCGCCGTAGATGATCGTTCTTAGCCTCATTTCGGGTGTACTGGGACGGTCTAATGGTTGTCTGACAGATTCTTCAATCTTTTTTTTTTTTTTGTTGTGTTTAACTCTTAGACGCATGATTTTAAATTAAGCAGTACTAAATTCTAAAATATATTTGGTAAGAGTTTATACCAGTTTTTGTGTATTTTATTCGTTATCTATAAAATCTGTATTAGATCAAGTTTACATATCAGCTCGTATAAATAATACTAGTAAGGGATAGCCTATGATGTGCATGCCCAATAATACTATTACCTAATATTAGTGCCGTAAAAATATTTATGGTAGAGTTAGATCGAGTTATTCTTAAAATACCTAAAGTCTAAAAATTATAATTTTATTGGTTCCAACTATTATTGAAAATGAAAATTTAAAAGGAGCTTGTTTGATGATCATGTTGTGCAAATTAGCAGGAATTATAAAACTTTCATTTAACTTATAAGCATTAGCAATCTTCTTTTATTGCAATGTCAAGTTATCTAATGCAACTACAATTAAGTTCACATTTAATATTACCTCATATCTAAAATAAATATCTTTTTAATTTTTTTTATGCTCATTAAGGAAATCATATAAAATATTTATTATAAGATTCATTAAGGATACATCCTTGAGTTCTAAGGAGATGAAACCAAGTCTTGTCACGACCCAAACTAACCTTGTCGTAATGGCGCTTATCGTGGAACTAGGCAAGCCGACTCATTTCCTAACAAACTGATATTTTCATTTCAAAGAAAAATTTCAAGGCTATTTAACATAAAAACCTTCGTGAAGGAGTTCAAATCAAAATAAAAGTGCGGAAAAGAAAAGTCCGACATCGGGGTGTCACTAGTCATGAGCATCTACTATAATTTGTATGACAATATCGAGACTAACATAGTCTGGAAAATAGCTAAATACAACTAAAGGAAGATAAGAGGGAGAAGAGCAGGGCTGCGATCGCTAGGCAGCTATCTTGCTATCCCCGAAAAAATCTGCAACCGAAATAATCAACAGCCGCTACCGTATCCAGCTACACCTAGATCTGCACATAAGGTGCAGGAAGTAACGTGAGTACGCCAACTCAGTAAGCAACAATAGTAAATAAAGACTGATAATTAATGACGAGCAGTAATGCAAGTAAAGTTCATATCACAAAAATTCAGTAAAATACAACATGCTTTTAAAACCAGGGTTTGGATCAAATCAGCTCTTTTAAATCCAGTTCTAGAAAAAAAATCATTTAAAGATATTTTCCAACAGTTTCAAATAGAGGCTTAATGCAAAGGTGAACAAAAATGATGAAATTATATACAGCCCCTCGGGCAGACCTCACAATCACTCGTATACAGCCTCTCGGGCATACCTCACAATCACTCGTAAATAGCCCCTCGGTTATACCTCACCATCACTCATGCCTCCCAGTCACTCAGCACTCGGCACTCGCACTCAGTAGGTACCTGCGATCACTGGGGGTGTGTACAGACTCCGGAGGGGCTTCTTCAGCCCAAGCGCTATATTAAGCCAAACTATGGCATAAATCAATCAGGCCCTCGACCTATATCAAACATGCTGTGGCGTGTAGCCCAATCCCATAAATATCCTCACAAATCAGACCCTCGGCCTCACTCAGTCATAAACCTCTGAAGCCACTCGGGCTCTCAGTAAAACATGGTATTCAGCCCAAAACAACATTTATATGCGTCAAAACGGAGTAAATAAAACTGAATTATGCAGTAAACAGGTATAACCACGGCTGAGTATATATTTTCAATCGAAAACAGTGAGAGGATAGTAAGAAAAGGCCCCTAAAGGTCCAGACAGCACTGGCACAAGGCCCAAACATGGCATTCAGCCCAATTTACAGAAACTCTTTCTAAAATACATAAGTATCATATAGTTTCAACAAAATATGCAACTTTACAGTTGCTGCGGGACGGACCAAATCATAATCCCGAACGGTGCACACCCACACACTCGTCACCTAGCATGTACGTCATCTCAAAATAGTAAAATGATACGAAATTTGGGGTTTCATACCCTCAGGATTAGATTTACAATCGTTACTTACCTCAAACCGATCAAATTCCTACTCCGCGATGCTCTTGCCCCTCGATTCGGCCTCCAAATGCTCCGAATCTATTCACAATCAGTACAATACCATCAATTTATGCTAAAGGAATAAATTTCACAAGAAAATCTACCAATTTAGACCAAAAATCCGAAATTGACTCAAACCCGGCCCCCGGGACCACGTCTTGAAATCCGACAAAATTTACAAGACTAGAAAGCTCATCCACTCACGAGTCTAACCATACCAAATTTATCAAAATCCGGTATCATTTTGTCCCTTAAATCCTTAAATTAAACTCTCCAAAATCCCAAGCCCTAACCACCCACTAATTTCCACTAATTTCCACTAATTACATGATTAAACAACAAAAAATCACCATAAATACAAATATTAGGGCTCAAGCAACTTACCTCAATGAAAACCCCCTTGAATCCCTCTTCAAATCACTCCCAAAAGCTCTAAAACCGACTGAAAATGGTGAAGAATAAACCAAAATTTGTGAAGTGTGCAATATATACCTTCTGCCCAGGTTTTTCGCACCTGCGACCTATTTCACGCACCTGCGGTCAAATAGCCGCACCTGCGAAACTCACTTAATTCCTCAGCATCCGCACCTGTGCCCAGGCCTCGCACCTGCGGGCTCGCAGGTGCAGCTAAGCCTTCGCACCTGCGCTCCAGCCTTAGCCTCCCATTTTTTGCATCTGCGCTCCAAATCTTGTGCCTGTGGAAGCGCACCTGCGCATCTTCCTCCGCTTCTGTGAAGCCTGCCAAAATTCTCTTCTCCGCATCTGCGCCCCAGGTTTCACACATGCGGGCTCGCAGATGCGATAGACTTCTCGCACCTGCGCATCCTGCCTAGCCCAGCACTGCCCGCACCTGCGACTTCCCAAGCGCACCTGCGGTCTCGCACCTTCGACTCCCCTTCCGCATGTGCGGAAACACCAGCATAATTCATACCAGCAGCCCTCAAACACCAAAAGCCAATCCGTCGGCCATCCGAAACACACCCGAGGCCCTCAGGACCTCAACCAAAAATACCAACAAATCATATATCAACATATAAACTTAGTCGAACCTTCGAATCACTCAAAACCACATCAAAACACCAAATTACCCTCGGATTTAAGCCTAAAAACTTCTAATGTTTCGAATTCCACAAACAACGCCGAAACTAACCAAACCACGTCCGAATGACCTCAAAGTTTACACACACGTCACAAATGACACCACGAACCTACTCCAACTTTCGAAAATCCATTTCGACCCCGATATCAAATTTTTCACTGCCGAGGGCCTCAGATGGATTCCGGATGGTTAACAAATTGAGTT